TTCCAGAAGATGATGTATATATTTGTGAATCGTTATACGATGAAAGTAAAAGCCTCATGAAAAAGCTTGGACAAGAAGGTTTAAAAAAATTCAACCATAGTTCAGCAGTAACTGAAGATGAAATTTATTTCTTCCGAAGACCTATTAATCCTGCTAAGGTGTGTATAAAATTTAAGCATTTAAATAACATCCTATGCAAAAATTTGATAACAATATGTTATTTGATATGCCTGTTATTTGATATGCAACTAACTAAATATCATTGCTTTGCATGTGATGTGTGTGTTATAGGTTCCGGGCGATGTGGCTCAGACGCAAAATCAAGTCAAGTCTGTTACTCCTAGTTCTACTCAATTTGAAATGGTAATTTCTACTTTTAAATTTCTTATGTTCTGTTAACAATGCAGCAAAGACGCATGTTTTCTTAAAATCACATGCAAGTTCATATACAAATTATTCATATTAAGAACTACTGTAAGAGACTATACATTTTGTTCTATATACAAATATGACTTGTATATGATTAAAATTTTGTATTAACTTGTATCTAAGCTGTAGAAATTATTTTTCATGGATTTAAATTCAGAGCACCTGTTGGGTTTATCTCTAATACATATGTATGTATATACATACATGATATACATAGTATACCACCAAAAACTCTTGCTTCCATGTCACTCTAACCCAAATAATATAAAAATGAAATACTTTGCTTTAAATGGAATGCATACAGTACTAATATCTAAATATTTGTAAGGTTTTGGAAGATTTATATTAAATTCAATTTAAATAGCAAAATATTGTGATATTAGATTACTAAATAGACCTTATACAATTATATTGCCATGGTATCCAGTATATAATATAATGTCTTACAAACAAGTTAAAAAATCTACTACTTTCAATAATAGATAGTAACACTTGGGCAAATCTCATGAAATCTATGATAAAGTAAAACTTGTTTAGTTAATAATATTATACGAGATTATTATATCAATCTAAAGTATTCAAAAAAATATTAATGATATTACATTCGGTAACGGATAATGAACGTAACATAACATAAATGGTATAGGAAGCATCACCATTGTTACCGAAGCTGGAACCTGATGTACTAGGCATGGGAGTAGGATTAGGAGTGGGAGTAGGAGTAGGAGTTGGGGAGGACAGCATGGACGCTGGTGGTCCACCGTCCGTCGGATCTGCTGAAGCTCAACCGGTGCTCTCCAATACTCAAACACCTGTGTCGACTAAAAAGGTAGGCCTTATCGTGACATTATTTGCTTATAACTTGATCATATATCGCATTTTATTTATTTCATTTTATTTTTGTTTAGAAAAATATGCCAGCATATATTTTTTGTTTTTGCACCGTTTAAACTTTGTTATCTAACATTAGAACGACAATTAGATGTTTTACCTCTGAAGGTATAATATCAATATTCGTTCTTATAAGACGGTGGCATTATAATTTGTGTTTTCTTCTGTTTAGAAAACGGCGGGTAAGAAATTAGTTACGGGCTATATTTTATATTCGAGTAAAATGCGAACGCAGATTACACAAAACAATCCTGAATCATCCTTTGGGGAGATTAGCAGAATTGTTGGCAACGAGGTATTTATTTATTTTTTACTGTTGATTTTTAGTTTACTATAAGAGTTTATTAAAGAAGGAAAGTATGCAGATTCAATCTTTTGAACATAGAAGCATAAAGGAGTTCTTGCAAAAAAAATCGTTAAGGGAATATATAATTCTGCATGCTTCATCTTTCTTTCAAATGTGGTACGTCTTTTTTGAGGCTACTATCCACAATTTTCCCGTCAAAATAAAAATTATTATTTCTATGGAAAACGTTACCGTTTAAACACAAATTATTATATGCGATTTATATATTAATATGAATATTAAAATACACCTTTCATACTTTGTATGCATAATTTTGTTCACCATATACTTCTAACATGTAACACATATATTATTGTACAACTATGTATTATAAATTATATAAATCATTGATATATACATGGAAAGTAGCCATATATGATTGAACTCAACATGTTTAATCATTTCATATCTGATCATGAAAACAGGTTTGAAAAACTGATTTTTAAATAACAATAAAATGCTACATAAAGAAGTATACTAAATAAATATTTTTTTATATTTCAGTGGAGGAAATTGCCAGCAGGAGAAAAACAAGCTTGGGAAGAAAGAGCAATTAAAATGAATGAGGATGGAGGGCAACTTAAAGGAAATAATGTTTCAGTAGGCACTAATGCTTTACAAGATGTAGTTTATGAATGTTGTTGGGATAATTGTGACTGGCAATTTGAAGACATGACTGATTGTATCGATCATTGTATTGCAGAACAAAATGGGCATGTTCAATCGTCTTTCGTTAATGCAGCTAGCGGTAAGTGCAATACATTTTATTTTATGTACTATTGGAGATATATTAGATTTTTAATCTTTGGAATGAATGGTTTAACAGATGTAGAATTTCAATGTCAATGGCGTGGCTGTGGTCGTACAAAGAAATCTGTACCTCCATTTCCAAGTGTACAAAGACTTGCAAGGCATGTCAAAGAAGTACACATCCTTAAGTCAAATGGACGGATAATACCTCCTTTGGAAAGAAGCAAGTATGATGTCAAAATAATACAGTATCCACAAATATTTTTAAATTTATGATTTAATATATTTCACTTTCTCTTATATTTTTTATTGCAGAAACTATATGGCATCGAAAGGTCCAACTGTATTGCCACCAATGGAAACAGGTAATTAATTTAACAGATCCAAAATAATACTTACGACAAATACTATGTTGTTGTAAATAAATCTTTTATTATAGAAACATCGGCAGCTGCAACGCAAACAAGTAATATGCCCGCCGCTAAACAACCAGAACCTATGTTTGTTGCTGTTCCTCCAAGACCAAGTCGTGTATTACATTCAGATGCCTATTTACGGTAAACTAATTGTTTCAAAATATTGTTATGATATACTTTTGTATGTTTTTAAAATTACATTGTTTTCATTAATTTATAGGTATATTGAAGCGTTGAATGTAGAAAATCGGTACATATCAAATTGGGATAAACAAATGAATGCTAATCCTGATAATACACAAATTCCTGATGTAACAAAATTGCCTGCAGAATGGTTAGGCAATGGTGTAGGCAACCATGGAAATGTGGTAAATGCCTTATGGACGCTCAGGAACATGATGATGCGAGATGTGTTAGCCATCAATAAAACTTTATAGTTTATAACTCGTTAAGATCTATAATCTTTAATATTCGATGCTACCTTAAAACTACAATTTTCAGGTCCGTCGATGCTAGATGAAAGACTGAAAAACTTATTATTTGAATAGGTGTATTTATATTTTTAGATTCTTTTTTTTTCATTTTACACGTCTAATCTGTACTTTAAATTTAACTTAATTATATAGTATGGTTTTTAGTAATTTTGAATGTATAATTAGAACTAGAAAATTGATTTTCTTATTACAAGATTTTCAGATTTGCAATGTATTTATCACGAATAATTCAGTTTAGTCAAAAACTAATTTTAATTCCTTCACTGAGTGAAAAATGTTGTGAGCATTATTTTCAATACATCGTCTATGGATCTGTTAGGAGTAGAACAAAAATATTACGCTATAAGAATCATCACTTTGTAAATACTTCGCTATTTTTAATTTTACCTTTTCATAAAAAAAAATTTTGTATTTTGTGTATCGTGCATCATGAAAGTGTGACTTGAGAATTCCTGTATTCATACTGTAAAATGAAATTGTACTGTAAATATAAAATAATGCACTTTAGAAAGCAATTTGATATAGATAACACTATCATTGTATCTATGAATGTTAATTTTATGTCATATAATCGTATATTTTTATGTAATATTTTCACTTACTTTTCTTCAATGAATAGTATTAAATTGTATATAATTAAAGATAAAGGAACAAAAAAATATGGATAAAGGTAATTTAATTTGTTTATATAAAATTAAATTCATCATTTAAACAACAGTGTATAACCGTGGTTTGCTATATATTATTAACAATTACATTTAACTGATAATTTATATGAAAAAGTTAAGTATCATTTTGTTAACTTTTTCAAATTAAAAACGGTACGTAGTTTTTACCGAATATTTGATACTGTATCATTTATGAACAAAAAAGGTTTTTCTTATAAGAAATTGGAAATTTGCAAAGTAATTAATTAAATCTATGTTTATTCATTATTTTCAAATATCCAGTTGTTATATGGTAAATGAAAATAATATTTAATGAATTATGTTTTGTGTTATTTTTATGTAAAACTTTGCGATAAAACATTTATACCAAAATACTATATGTAAGTTGGGTCATTTGATATTATCATCTTGATTTACATTTACATTATTATCTGTAGAGAAAAATGAATTACAGTTGCTGCTTTCAAGGGGGACATAGGATGGGTAAAACTAAAGTTTTCCAGATACAGACACTTCGGAGATTTGAAGGTAACCTTAATTTTTTTTAAGTAGGAACAGTTTTTTTATAGCACGATATAATACATTTTTTTTTTTAATACAATTATCTCAGATCTTAATGGTCAAGATCTGGTAATTGTGTTTGTACAAAGAACAAAATTGTGAGAAGAAATCACTCTCTTACTAATGTAGCAAATCTCTGAGTACAATGGCTAATATAGCAGTTTTAATATTTTACAATTGTTATTTTATAACAGAAAAATTGTTTTACCTAGCATTGATTTTACAATTTATTGATGTACAATTTATGGTGAGTACATAAAAGTCTGGAAAAATGTGCTATTCTTTATTTAACAAATAAAATTTCTGATTTTGGTACAACGAATTATGTAAATACAAACGAATTGAGATTTTTTTTTGTACATTGGAAATACATTTATATCTTCAAATACAATTTGTGTCAAAAATGCAAAATTTTGAATTAGAAGTCGCTCACCCGCCCACCATTTTGCCAGTCACCCCACTTTGTTGGATCTTTTTCACTATTTGTTATTAGTTCTCCATTGAGGTCAGTTTCCACTAATACCAAGTCTACGAAACGCTCTTTCGGAGGTATTCCTATTATTGTACTTGTTTATAATAATTATATCTTGTAATTAATAGTAACCAATATTACTTTATAAATGAAATATACTTACTAGGTATTGGTTGCAATTTTAATTTTTTATGAAATTTTTTCATTCTTACTGATTCTTCTTTTTCGCTTTTTGACTCCGATTCTTTAGTTTGCAATAAAACACCTAAATGTATTGAAAAATAATCAAGGTTAAAGCGTAAAAATTATTGTATAAGTCAAAGATTATATATGTTTCATACATTTTGAAAACTCTCTAGATTTACATATTAATGGTCTTATAGAAATTTTGTTTGTAGAATTGAACATGTTAGTATTGAGATGTCTTAAAGAGAACTTTGGTTTCAAAATATTCATATTTATATAACTTGTTGAAATGAATGAAAGGAATATGCTAGTTTTAAAGAATATTCTTTTGTTAGATTTCTGACAAAACACTACATAAAAAAACAATGCATATACTTAATTCTTTGTACTTTAATAAATGTTTTATACTTCTTTTCTTTATTTGCAATACTTTGTTTATTTATAAAAATATAAAAGGACCATTTCTTACAAAGAAAAATTTTTAAACGAAAATAATTTTTTTTATCTAAATAAGGTACTTATTGTTTTATATCTTATGTACAGTGTATTTATTACAATTTTACAATATTAACAATATTAAACTGTTATTCTACATATTATTACTTATGTATACTATATAAATATACTAGTATATACATGTTTTGCATTAGAATGTCTAGAAATCCGTTACTCGACCTTTCCTCTCCCAATCGCCATATCGAGTTGGTTCTGGTCCTCGTGGACCTCCTATTTCACCTGTTTCTGGATTAGTATCGTTTGGAAAAGGTTTCAATGGTTCTTTTTCTTGATAAGGATGTTTTCCTTCTTCTAGTTCTTCTAGCTTTTCTGTTATACATTAAAAAATATCTTGAGCAATGTTCTTACAATTTTACAATAAATTATTAAATATCCATAAGATACCTATAGGTGTACGTTCTCTTAATTTTTTTCTAAATTCGCGCATTCTTGGACTTTCAGTTTTATTTTCCTTCGAATAAAGTATTTGGAAGTCTAAAGTATATGTAGAAAATTGGTTGAGCATTTTATAATTTCATGATGTACTCTTAAAAATTTATTTAAATTTATGACGTTTGCAGTGAACATAACCTTACTCATTGTAAATTTTTTATTTCCAATGATTAAATGAAGGTTATATCACATTATACTGAAATTATATAATAATACATAATAAATTAGCTCATAAAATTATAATTACTAATGATTTCATTATAACAATTTCTATAACGCATAATCTACATACACATACGTATGCTTACAATGTTTTTAACGACAATGAAGAGTATTGAATCTAGTAGTACATAATTCATGAAGTGATGAAGTAAAAGTTAAGTTTAATTTTGTATAAAAATAAAATTACAATAAAAATGACAAATTAATAAATTAGTATAATAATAAAACTTTTTT